TGCGGCCATGTCTGTCTTGTATATCGTGCTTAGCACCTACCTGGCACATGGGAGGACTCATCAATGGTTGAATGAATGAGTAACTAAACGAGGTGAAAATAAGTGTTGTGACATTTTTGCTCCTTGCTCTAGAGACTACTAGGCCCGAGCACTGCAAACGGAGAGGAGTATAATAGTGCAAATTGCTTAAAATTACAAAAACACAACAAAAATGAACGTACATGTAAGGCATTGAAAAACAGCCAGAACATTGTCCCTTTCTCATAGTAAGGGAAGACTCATGAGTAATTCATGACTAACTCATAAGCTGAGAATAGGAAAGAAAAAGAAAGAACCTTACAAAATATTTTAAACCTTCTACTAAATTCATCTGTTGGCTAAATTTCAAAAGTGTTAGTAAAGAGATTCCAAATTACATTTAGTTAAAGTAGAAAGTAAGTAATTTCAGCTTAATCATTGAAATAGTTTTGATGTTTTATTTAATACAGACTGTGAGGTGGGTATAGTGGTACCCACCTGTAGTCCCAGCTATTTGGGAGGCTGCGGAGGGGAGATTGCTTGAGGCCAGGAGTTTGAGGCTGCAGAGCCCTATCATTTCACTGTTGATAAAAAAAGTAATAATAGGCCAGGCACCCCAGCACTTTGGGAGGCCAAGGCAGGTGAATCATGAGGTCAGAAGTTCGAGACCAGCCTGACCAACATGGTGAAACTGCTGTCTCTACTAAAAGTACAAAAATTAGCCAGGCGTGGTGGTGCATACCTGTAATCCCAGCTACTCGGGAGGCTGAGGCAGGAGAATTGCTTGAACCCAGGAGGCAGAGGTGGCAGTGAGCCAAGATCACACCATTGCACTCCAGCCTGGGCGACAGAGCAAGACTCCATCTCAAAAAAAAAAAAAAGGTAATAATATGTTTTAAAAACAGATGTAATACAGTGATGTATACTTGCATTGTTAAAGAATTGTGGAACTAAAAAGCAAAAATAACTCAACCAAGACATTATATTATGATATACAATTTAAATGAAAAATGTTCCTACAGTTCTATAATATTTTTAATCATTGGAGGCTTATCTAGTATATTTACTTCCCATGAGGGAGATTAAATAGCCAGTGATTTCATCAGCAAAGAGACAAAAAGGCACCAAGTAGTATATATGCTGGATCAAAACAAACATTTCACTTAAGAATAATGTGCCTTATTTGACCACTTAATGATATATTGTAGCATGACTTCTCCCAGCAAAAAGGAGCTCATTTTACTTATGTGATAGATGCATGAAGGCCCTTGGATATATAGCACTTGTGGGACGCTTGAATTCAGAAGAAGGTTACAAGAAGAGACCCATGCCCACTCCCTTAATTGCAGACTTCAGAAAATTTGGAGAAACACCCACTTTCCTCCAGTTAGCTCCTCCTTTCAACTCACTTTTCCCTGGTGGAACTTGAATAGAAATACATAGAAAAACTCTAGAAGTGCATTCATTAAACTATTAACAGTGGTTGCTGGGCTGGGCACAGTGGCTCTTGCCTGTAATCCAAGCACTTTGGGAGGCCGAGGCGGGCAGATCACAAGGTCAGGAGATCGAGACCATCCTGGCTAACATGGTGAAACTCCATTTCTAATAAAAATACGAAAAAAAATAACAATTAGCTAGACATAGTAGCACACGCCTGTAATCTCAGCTACTTGGAAGGCTAAGGCAGGAGAATCACTTGAACCCAGGAGACGGAGGTTGCAGTGAGCTGAGATTGCACCACTGTACTCCAGCTCGAGACTCCATCTCAAAAAAAAAAAGCAGTGGTTGCTGATTAGAAAGTGAGAATGGGAAAAGAAATACATATATTTCTTTCGTTATTAAAAAGCCATTAGCTAATAATATAGTATATTGACATACTATTTAGCATTTGGCTTTCTCAACTTAGTTTGTGTAATTTACTGTATTTAATATTTTAATATTTCACTACTGAAAATAATTTTTAAATTATGCATATTAATACTGATTTTAAATTTTTTTCCTGACTGCTGATCCCCACGAGGTGAAGAAATCTGAAGCTTAGATTCTCTCTGTTTAGCATATTCTCTTAAGGCAAAAGCTGGCTTCATTGTTCCATTTACTGCTCTGGGTTCCAGTCTTGGTTTTTACAATAGTGTCCCTCACTAATGCTTTAGTGAAGTTTTAATGGTGGTTGTTTGTTTTTATGTTTCGTCCAGGGTTTTTAGTTGTTTTAAAAATGTTGGTCTAGAAACCTAGTCAGCCATTCTGTTGGAAATAAACTTTCTTAGTTTTTGTACCATAATGTATATACTTTGTGTGTTACATAATTTCTAGCAGAGCTGTGAAATGGTGTAATGAAGTGTCTTTATGCCACTCAGTAGACTAACCCTCTGTTCACCAAAGTTTCAGCATGTATTTTCTTTGATGAATTCTTTGCAAAATGCAGATAAATACTGGATAGTTTTTCCCAGGTTAAAATTATGTCTGCAATTCTGTGGTGTAGAACTCTGTGAGGCTTTGACTACCCATTAGTTATATGTTAGAGCAAATTCAGATAGCCTTTTTGAATAGAATCACAGTTCTCCTGAATGTGTGACTTCCCTCATCACACTTCCAGGCTGAAGTTGGATAGCTACACACTTGTGTCTTTGTTAGGCATCTTAATTTTCATAAGGCCCACCTTATCTTATCTCAATGCAGCATTGTCCTTAGCTGGCTCAAAACAACAGAAAGTGCATCCCAGGAATTTATCAGGAAGGTAGAAATAAATGCTTGTTGCTGACTGAGCACTGTGGCTCACACCCATAATCCCAGCACTTTGGATGGCCAAGGCGAGCGGACCATGAGGTCAAGAGATCGAGACCATCCTGAACAACATGGTGAAAGCTCGTCTCTACTAAAAATACAAAAATTAGCTGGGCATGGTGGTGCACGCCTGTAGTCCCAGTTACTGGGGAGGCTGAGGCAGGAGAATCACTTGAACTCAGGAGGCGAAGGTTGCAGTGAGCTGAGATTGTGCCACTGTACTCCAGCTGGCGACAGAGGGAGACTCCATCTCAAAAAAAAAAATTCTTGTTGCTTTTTATTTCGTTAAAAAGTTCTGAAAGAAACCAATTTTTATGGTTTACATAAAGAATATTTAGCCTATCCATTCTGCTGAAATAAAATGTAAATTCCAAGTAAAGTCAGAGAGCTAAATACCCGGATTACATCAAATTGACTTTCACTTAGACCCATTCTACTAAACTGTCCTTTATGTTTCGCCAGCAGCTGGCAAAACATCTGTGTTTTCTCACAGATGTTGGGGATGTTCTTCATTATATAAACATCGGGTTTCTTGTCACCAAACTCTCAAAGGAGAATTTCCTTCTGCACTTTCCAGGAGCAGTTTGGTTGTAGACCATTCATTTGGGTCTTAACTATCTCCCCTTTTCCTCTGACTACTAGAAAGCTCAGCATCTTGAGGTCCTCCCCTCCCATCATGGGATGTATTTTTATCTACCAATCTCATTGCAGATGCCATCTTACTTTCCTACCCTTAATTTTCCTTTAACTCGTTTTTGCCATATTAAATGCCTATTTTCAAAACCATTTTGAGTATTTTTTGGAATGTAGTAGACACATGCAAAATCATTTGATTATTGTTTCAAATAATGCAAATCAGTGAATAACCATGTTTTAGAAATGAAATTACAAAATTATATGTTTATTTTGCTTCTATAAACATTATTGGATCCAGAAAATTAGATTCTGTTATAATTCACTGTCTCTAGAATTCAAAGAATTAAATATGCAAAGACAGTGGAGACCACTATTAGGATTTCTGAGAACGTGTACAGCTTGTTACCTCATTTGTTTGAACAGGCAAAATTTCAAAAGTAAAATTGCGCTTCCCAAATATTTTGTAGATTTCAGTAATCTGATAAATGAGCTAGTTATTCATTGTTTCTTTGGTACCCACACAGTGGATTATCCATAGCAACAACCCTTTTCAAAACATAATAGGGCCAACTCTGTATTTATTAGGGAAATAATACCACCAGGTTAAACAAACTGTGACTGTTGGTTCTGTGTATTTACTCTCTTTCAAAGGGATCTGTTAAACCTTCAGTGTGCCATGTTGTAGATCATAAGAGAAGCTGAATCAGAGTATGACTCTATGATTCTGAATATGCCATTTTTATAGTATGTTTAGAGTCAAATGAAAAAGATGATGAGCAAATAAAACATTAGAAATAAAGTACTATATTATGTATTCAAAATAGGGCCAAATTCTGCACAGTACAAATGAGGGCTTGATTATGCTAAATATTACCACTTTCAGTCTGTCGAGGTTAAGTAGAATATATAATATTGGTGCAGAAAACACATTTCTGTTTTTCTTAATTCTAGGAATTATATTGATGTGGAATCTGTAAGAAAGTCTGTGCCTCAGAAGAGAAAAAAGACAGTTTCAGAATTAAAGAGATTTTTATAAGAGAACAGATTTTTTCAAAGAATTCTAATTGCTGTTGAAATTTAAATTAAGCGTCAGATCTTTTCATGTCAGTCGTTGAGAAATGAAGTTGTATTTAAAATCACAAAGTGTTAGACTTCATTTAATCCGGTATCCTTATTTTACAGCCATGAATGCTCTTAGAAATTGCTACAGAAAGCATACTGACTGTCATCTCAAATGTCCTTGCACAATATAAAAACATTTTTTCAAATTAAAACTTGTTAAGCTTCTGCCCTACAAGGTATACTAATGGGAATAGAGTAATCTTCTGTAAATGTAGATTGATGAATAATTCTGTTTTTTTTTTATATGATAGGATGGAGTACCTTTTTTTGTTCCTTATTGGATTTTTTTTATGTGTGGCTCAATAGTGGGGCTCTGCATTTCTGAATTGGTTGAGCCTGTTTGGATAAAATCTTTGCTATGTCAAATATGTATTTTTTTGTAATGTAAGTTTTTTGGTAGTTTTAGCACTTAAATTATTCCCTTTTGTTTATCTTCACAGATTCTGGAACTTTTCAAAGCCTGACCCTCTACTTGAAACAGTAGAGCATCATACAGAGTTTACTTGTGGTTTAGACTTCAGTCTTCAGAGCCCCACTCAGGTAACAGATGCAATCTCATGATACTCTCTTCTGCCCAAGTTCACAGCCAACTCTGTGTGGCATCCGTTGCTTTTATGAATAAAATTGTTGCCATTTTAGCTATATAAGCTTGAGAGTGTTTGAGCATTAGACTACTAGGGAATAAGAGGTATCCAGAAAGTTGGCATACCTTTCCCCTCTTGAAAGATTGATTTCTCTGAGAGAAAAAGGAACTGTCCCAGGAGGATTGTCCTAACATGTTAAAGGCTTTCTCTACACCTCTCCCAATGGAAAAGCGACAAGAGAAAGATGGAATACGGCAGGATTGTCACCATAGGTTGGCAGTATCAGGAACATGTGATCCTCATTCAACTGTCCCACTAGGCAGTTGAGACCATGGGCAGGCTGGTCACTACTCTCAGGACTGTCGCCCTTGTCTCCACACCCCATGTCGACTGGGAGGCTTCAGATGGAGAACAAGTAGAGGAGAATGTCTGCTATATAAGTTAATAAACATTATATTTCCCCCTTTTTGTTCTCTCGAGGGCTTGAGAGTAGACATTTTAGACTTTAAATACCCTTCAGGTTTTTTTTAAAAAAGCTTTTTCATTTTGGAAATTGTAAAGTCAAGTCAGAACCAGTATAATATGTTGAGTGATAAGGCCCTTTAAATACAGACTGTGTGGAAGAACCAGCATATCAATGAAACACAAAATATGTGGAAATTCTAGAACATGACTGTGGAATTGTATTTTTATGATAACTTTTGTAGGTTAAACAAAAAGAAAATCCCACTTCACATTACTATATTCTGAAATTTAAATAAATATACCAGTTTTTCTTTTTCTTTTTTTTTTTTTTTTTTTTGAGACAGAGTCTTACTCTGTCACCTAGGTTGAAGTGCAGTGGTACAATCTTGGCTCACTGCAACCTCCACCTTCCAGGTTCAAACAATTCTCCTGCCTCAGCCTCCCGAGTATCTGGGATTACAGCCATGTACCAGCACACCTGGCTAATTTTTTTTTTTTTTTTTTGACAGAATTTTGCTCTGTTGCCCAGGTTGGAATGCAGTGGCTCAATCTTGGCTCACTGCAGCCTCCGCCTCCTGGGTTCAAGTGATTCTCCTGCCTTAGCCTCCTGAGTAGCTGGGATTACAGGCACATGCCAGCATGCCTGGCTATTTTTTTGTATTTTTAGTGGAGGTAGTGTTTTGCATGTTGACCAGACTGGTCTTGAACTGCTGACCTCAGGTGATCCATCTGCTTCAGCTTCCCAAAGTGCTGGGGTTACAGGCATGAACTACTGTGCCCAGCGTAATCTTTATATTTTTAATAGAGACGTTGTTTCACCATGTTAGCCATGCTGGTCTTGAACTCCTGACCTCAAGTGATCCACCCTCTGTGGCCTCTCAAAGTGCTGAGATTACAGGCATGAGCCACCACTCGTGACCTACGAGTTTTTTATTTTAGGAATTAAAGGTGTAATTCTGAGTTTAAAAGATTCTCATTTTGTATTAGAATGTTCCCATTAACATTAGAAATAATTATTTAAAATTACTAGCATGTGAGAAAAAACTGAAATAGTGATGAGTGAAATGGCATTATTTTCAGCATAAATATAATGTGTTTCAAATGAACTAGTTCCTTTTTTAATATATTTATTATAGATGGTTTTTAATAAAGTAATTGTACCTGTTTTTTATTTTAGTCTTAAAAAGTTGTGATGGCACTGAAACATGGCACCCCCAAACAAAGGATCCTAAGTAAAGATTTCTGAAATTCTCATTCTTACATATTTCTATTACCTGTCCTCTGTGAGCCCAGACTGGCACCTGTGGCAGCAGCCACAGCACCTCCATTTCCTCAGCTGTGGTGCTACCTCTCCAAGGTGTTCCAGAATACCAGATGTTTTCTAAATCCTCCACACATAGACCTACCTTATTAAAAGGAACTTCGTGATGAGAGGACTTCATCAGAGGACATACATCCCTAAGTAATGGATTTTATTCAAATTAAGATGGTGATCTCAACCAGTATTTTATTTTTTAAGTATATCTAATATTAATACATTTTAAACACAAACATTTGAGTTGTGTATATTATTAATTTATATATATTTTTGAAGGATAATTTGTATTTATTTTAATTATTTTTATGTTCAGAAAGCTCAACAGTGTATATCTAATCCAGTTTAGTGGCAGGTTCTTTAGCCTTTGCCTTTTCCAGCTTGGCAGTGTGAGCAACAGACTTGGGACTGAGGACATTGCCTCCCCAGTGACAGCCGATCTCATGATATGTGTCTCTGTAATTGTTCCTGATAACTGCCACCAGCCTAGACAAAGCCCCTTTGTCTTCCGAGGTAACCTGTGTGTGTTAGGCGAGTCACTTGCATAAACAGACCACCAGGCAGGCTTTGTGTGAGCAACATGGCTGTTTATTCACCTGGGTGCGGGTGGGCTGAGTCTGAAACGAGAGTCAGTGGAGGGCAGTGGGATAGGAGTTGGTTTTATAGGTTGGGGCAAGTGGTCAGTTAAAGGTGGTAACCTATTTTAGGGAGGGGAATGGCATCATGGGATGCATGGTCACAGGGGTAGGGGTCGGTAATTTATCTTGGGGAGGAAAAGAACATCACAGGATGCACGATCACAAGGTAGGGGTCATTTATTACAAACAGGCATGATCGTAAGGATGGGGAGTATCAGTTGCAGTCAGAGGAGAGGGTGCAGTAGATTACATAGTTACAGGAGTGGGAATCTTGAGAAACCCAGTGTCCAGGGGGAAATTTTTGCAAGGCTGAACAGGAATAATGGATGCAAGTTGCAGCAATTAGTTGAGGTAGGAACAAGTAGTTTTACTTCTTTCTGTGGCTACCTGGTTACTTGTGGTTGCTTCAGACTTTCTGGTTTCTAGAGACCATCCAGAGGTGTACGTGGGGGTCACCAAGGCTAAAATGGTCAGGCCTGGACTTGGAGGCCTAACACTGTGAAGGCAACAGTGGTGTGGGTCATCCTGTGGACCTGTCTTGCCTTTCCCTTGACAGTGCAGTCAGGGACCCCCATTTTATGAGACAGGGCAGGCAGGAAGACAGCCAGCTTGATGGGATCCATGTTGTGTGCAATCACTACCAGTTGAGCTTTCTTGTTCTCTGCAAGGTGGTGACGGTGTTAACCCCAGCTTGAAGGACAGTTGGTCTCTTAGTGGAGACATCCCCTTTGCCGGCAGCTTTCTTCTCAGCCTGGGCCAAGAGTCTCTGCTTCTTCTCTTGCATTGTCTCTGGTGTGTATTGTGTGGCAGCTTAAGCAGCTGAGTAGCTGTAGGTGGTCCAGGGCCTGGGTGAACTGGTTCATCGCAGGAGGAACTTCCAGCCTCTTGTAGAGGATAGCTCTCTGCTGCTGCAGCCTGATATAGTGGGGCCATTTTACAAAGTGGGTGAGGTCCCTTTTGGGCTGGATATCCTGTCCAGTGCCAGAATTCTTAGGCCTTTTCTCAAATAGTGGATTCACCGCTTTCTTGGCCTCCTGCTGCTTCAAGACAGCAGGGGCCAGAGCTACCCTGTTGCCCTTAGCCTTCTTTCCTTTCAGCTTCTTGGGCGGCTGGAAGAGAGAGATAATTCGTATTTTTACCAAGTCACATCGAATTCCTTTCTAGGGAAAGCACAAATCAAGTTCTCCATGTATCTCCATATTTTTCCTCCCACTTCTTTTGTCAGTTATCTATTACTGTGTAACGAACAACCCCAGGACTTAGTGGCCTAAAACAACAATTTTACATGCTTACATTTCTATGAGTCAGCAATTTGGACCAGGCTCACCCTGGCAGTTCTTTTGGTCTTTCCTGTAGCCACCCATGTGGTTCCAGCCATCTGGTGGCTTAACTTGGGCTTGGTGGACAGGACATCTAGCCCAAAAGGGACTTCACCCACTTTGTGAAGTGGCCCTACTCTGTCAGGCTGCAGCAGCAAAGAGCTATCCTCTACAAGAGGCTGGAAGTGCCTCCTGCGATAAACCAGTTCACCCAGGCCCTGGACCACCAAACAGCTACTCAACTACATAAGCTGGCTCACAATACAGACCAGAGACAAAGCAAGAGAAGCAGAGACTCTTGGCCCAGGCTGAGAAGAAAGCTGCTGGCAAAGAGGATGTCTCCACTAAGAGACCAACTGTCCTTCAAGCTGGGGTTAACACCGTCACCACCTTGCTGGAGAACAAGAAAGCTCAGCTGGTGGTGACTGCACATGACGTGGATCCCATCAGTTGTCTTAGGCCTCCTTCATGTGTCAGTGGGCAGTGCTGGTTGTCTTCCAAGCCGTATGTCTCTAGGTGTGCTCAGATCTCTGAATTTAACAGTTGTGTGTCTCTAAGAGGGCAATGGCAAAAGCTGCAAATCATCTTGGGAACTGGACTTGGAAGCCACACAGCATTCCCTCCGTTGCAAAGCAAGTTACGAGGCCAGTCCAGATTCAAAGAGTGGGAAATAGACTTGATGGAAGGACCTGTGAAGAATCTGTAGTCACTTAAAATCTGCCACGCTAACCTTCGTTGGCATTGTAGGTGGTTTAAGTTATTTTTAACGTATTATATTTATCCTTTAGTCTCATAATGTGTCAGATTTACAGATTACAGGTTAATTTAATTTTACTCTTTGATCATATTTTATTCCCTTATAATGTATCTTTCTCTCACTTCTTAGTATCTTTCCATCTGCTTTCAAATACCTATTGTCTCTTGTGATCTTAGCAGCTGTAGGACCTTGCTGATGTTACTTTAAGGCTCTGTGTTTTTATATATTCTCAGTCTTAAAAGAGATTTATCTGAGTTCTTCTATGTATAATTCTTTTTCTTTTTAGCTTCTCCCTTCTTAGAGATCTGAGAAATGAGGTCAAGGGCATTCTTACATTACACCACCTTTCTTCTTAACAGAATGTAAGATCTTGTCTTTAAAAGTTTAAAACTTGACAAGTAAGTGTCTGGTTTCATTCTTTAAGGATAATTGCTGAGAAATGCTCTATGCCCTCTTTTGTTA